TGGTGAAATGGAGAGGTGGGGACGGGGAGGGATGGGGAGAGGGAACAGACAGGGAGGGGGAGAAGTGGGCACGGGAGAGATGGAGAGAGATGGAGAGGTGGTGGAAGGCGGGGGAGAGAGGGGGGACAGATGTTGGGACACGGAGAGGTGACAGTGCGGAGAGGGGGAGACATGGAGACATAAGGACACGGGTGAAAAGGCAGAAGTGGAGAAATGCTAAAGTGGAGAGAAGGAGAGCTGGAGAGATGGAGGCAGAATTGTGGAGACATGGAAAGGCGGAGAGGTGGAGGTGTGAACACATGGAGTGATGGAGAGGGGGAAAGGAGAGGTGCGGAGGTGTAATCAGGGAGCTTGGAGGGGTGCAGAGACAGAGGTGGAGCGCTGGGGACAGATCTGGGGACATGGAGGCGTGGGGACAGAGCTCTGGAGAGGTGGAGGAAGATCCAGGACCCACCGTGGCGTTTGTGCTTCTGGGACCTCGCCCTGCTCCTCGGGGAAGAGTTTTGCAGGGATGCTGAGGGCGCTGAGCACCCCAGGGGGGGCGTGGGGACGCTTCCCTTGGAAAGGCGGGGGGCGCCGGGCTGTCCCCAGGCAGCAGCTGGCACACGGTGCCTCTGCCTGGTGGCCGCCAATGCCAGCACACAGCGGGGGTGGCGGGGACCCCAGTGTCCCCTGCTGCCAGCGCCTGGTCACCCCAGCTGGGGCTGGGAGGGGAAAAAGGAAAGGAAAGGAAAGGAAAGGAAAGGAAAGGAAAGGAAAGGAAAGGAAAGGAAAGGAAAGGAAAGGAAAGGAAAGGAAAGGAAAGGAAAGGAAAGGAAAGGAAAGGAAAGGAAAGGAAAGCCCGGTCCCCACTGTCCCCAGGCAGGTTCAGGGGCGGGCTGGGGACACGGGGGCTGTGGAGGGCAGCACAGAGCTCCGGTGTCCCAGGAAAGGCGCTCATGGCAGCAGCCCAGCACGGAGGGGTGTCCCCCGCGGCGCTGGGGGTTTGCAGGGCACAGGGATCCAGGCGAGCAGATCCACCACCTCCACCTTTGCACCCATCTCCGTTTTCATCTGCATCTTCATTTCTCTTTCCATCTTCATTTCTGCCTCTGTATTTGTATCTTAGTCTCCTTCTTTTTTCTCTGCTTTCACCTCTGCTTCTTCTCCATCTCTGCCTTTATCTCCACCCCATTTCCTCCTCCACTCCCAGACCATCTCCATCTCCATTCCCAATACCATTCCCCCCCTTCCTCCCCGTTCCCATCCCACCCCATCCCACCCCACCCCATCCCAATCCGATCCCAATGGATCCCATCCCCATCCCAATCCCATCCCACCCCACCCATTCCCTTCTCGGGGCTGTCCCGGCGGGAGGAACCGGGACAATCCCGTGCAGGCCGGGCCGTGCCTCGGGGCGGAGCTGCCCCGCTCGGGGCTCAGGGATCCTTCCCTCCGCGCTGCCCCATCCCTGCTCCCAGCGGCCGTGCCCAGAGCGTTCTGCCCTCTGCTGTCACCGCCGGGGGACACGGCCGGGACACGGGTCCTGTCCCCATTCCAGGCTGGCAGCAGGGACGGGGTGCGCTGGGGATTGGGGTCTGCAGCTGGGAAGGGACACAGGAGAGAGGGACCCTGCAGGGACAGTGGGGAGGGGCTGGGAGGAGGGAGGGGACCCGCTCTGCCAGAGGAGTGACAGCAGCACCGCTCGGGAACGGGACAGGGGACACAGGGACAGACACAGGAACGGGGACACAGAGTGGCACAGGGACAGGAGGGACACGGGAACAGGGATGGACATGGGAACAGGGACATGGGGTGGGACAGGGACAGGGGGACACAGGGACAGGGGGACAAAGGGACAGGGAGGGACATGGGAACAGGGGCACAGAGTGGCACAGGGACAGGGGGACACAGGGACAGGAAGGGACATAGGAACAGGGACACAGAGTGGCACAGGGACAGGGAGAGCCACAGGGACAGGGACACAGAGTGGGACAGGGACAGGGGAACACAGGGACAGGGAGGGACATGGGAACAGGGACAGGAATAGGATAGAACAGGGACAAGGTGTGAGGGACAGGGAGGGACATGGGAACAGGGGCACAGAGTGGCACAGGGACAGGGGGACACAGGGACAGGAAGGGACATAGGAACAGGGACACAGAGTGGCACAGGGACAGGGAGAGCCACAGGGACAGGGACACAGAGTGGGACAGGGACAGGGGGACACAGGGACAGGTAGGGACATGGGAACAGGGACAGGGATAGGACAGAACAGAGACATGGAGTGGCACAGGACCAGGGACAGGGAGGGGATGGAATGGGGACATGGAGTGTGACAGGAATGGGAACAGGGACACAGAGGAGTGGAACAGGCAGAGGGAGCAGACCAGGGAGTGCCTCTGTCCCGGGAGATTTCCACAGCGAGGCAAAGCTGCCAAAGCTCCGCAGCTCATTGCTGGGATTCTGTCTGGAGCTCAGTGCCTGCGTTCCCTGAGCGGCACTGGGAGCAGGAGGGCCCCATCCCACAGGGAACAGCTGCCAGTGGCTCAGAGGAACCAGGTCCCAGGCCCCCCCCAGGGCCCCCCAGGCTGCACACAGGGATGGGTGCTGGCATAACCAGGTCTGGGATAACTGGATTTGGGAATTCCCACCCCTGCCCAGAGGAGACCTGGCCGTTCTGGTGCTCCACACCCAGCTCCTGGTGTTCCCTCTCCTCATCCCAGCCCAGAGCCAGCTGCGGGGAGGGCCGGGAGGGCAGAGGGACGAGGTGCAGCTACCAGGGGATCCACTCAGCATCCCCTGCATCCCTGGCAGTGCCCAGGGCCAGGCTGGACACTGGGAGCAGCCTGGGACAGTGGGAGTGTCCCTGCCATGGCAGGGTGGCACTGAGGGGCTCAGAGGTCCCTTCCCACCCAGCCATTCCAGGATTCCCTGATTTCCCTCCCTGTGTCGTTCCTGTCTGCACATCCGAGGCTGTTTTGCCCCATTCTGGGCTTTCTCCCTGCAGAAGGTCGCCCTGCTCCTCGCTGAGCGCCAGGTGCCTGGAAAATCCCATTCTTTTCTCCTGCAGAAAGCACGGGTGGAAGTTAAAAGCCCAGATGACTCAGCCGACCAAGAAAACAGAGTTTATCCCCACGTTCCCACCCACAATTTCACTTTCTTGTCCATCAAAATGATGATTATTAAAGGATTCGGGCTAAAAGAGGCAATTTGGGGGCTTGAAGGCGTCCTCCCATCATCTCTGGTGGAATGCAGGTGCAAGACGGGACAGTGACATTGGCAGGAACAGAAATTCCACGGCTCAGGACAATGGAGCTGCTTTTCCAGGTGTTTGGGCAGAGATTTCCCGCCCCGAAAAAGGGGCTAAGTACTAAAAACGGGGAGAAAAGCAAGCAGTGAATAAACTGTCACCAAAAGGCTGGGGCAGGGAGATCAGAGGCGCTGGAAGGCTGCGGCAGCAGGGAGAGGGCGGGAAGAGGATTCCCCAGGGGCCGGGAGCGCCGGCACAGGCGGGGGATGGAATCCTGGAGCGGGACCACCGGGACCACCGGGACCGCCGGGACCGCCGGGACCGCCGGGAAACGGGCGGGGGCTGCGCCGGGACCCGCGGAGGGACAGAGACCCCGGGGTGGGCACGCGTGGGAAAACACCGGGGGCAGGGAAAACATCAGGATCACGGGAAAACACCGGGATCACGGGAAAACACCGGGATCACGGGAAAACATCGGGAGCAGGGGAAACACCGGGGGTACGGGAAACACCGGAGGCACGGGGATAACACCGGGAACTTGGAAAAACATCAGGAACACGGGAAAACACCGGGGGCACGGGGATAACACCGGGGGCACGGGAGAACATGGGGGACATGGAAAAACATGGGGAACACGGGAAAAAAATATCACAGAGTGGGAAAACGTGCCATGCCCAGCGGGAGACGCCGGCGGGGCGGATTCCCGTGCGCTCCAACCGTCCCCGGCCACCCACGGGTGACACGGCTCCGCTCGGGGCCGGCAGGGGAGCACCCCGAGCGCCTCCCGGGGGGACCCCAGCCGGTGACACGGGACACGGCGGGAGGGTTTCCCCCGCCCGGGGCTGGGGGATTGGGGTCACCCAGAGGGGTGGCAGTGCCAGTGTCCCCTGAGGGAGGGCACCCCGGGGCTGTGTCCGGACCGCGGGTGTCCCCGCCAGGACACGGTGACCGCCGCTGTCCCCGGTGCCCCGGCAGGGTGCGGTGTCCGTGGGCAGCGGGGTTTGGGGTGCGGGTGCAGGAAAGGAGCGACCCCCGGGCAGCGGGGCCGTCCCTGCCACCCCCAAACCCGCCAGAGGTGCGTGCCCCATCCTCCCCCTTCCCCAAAACCCCCGGGCCCGGGCGGGGAGCGGCACCGGCAGGCTCCGGTGGCCCGGGGGGTCACGGAGGGGCGGCACAGAGTTCGGGGGACCCGCACTGGGGCTGCACTGGGGGACCCCCGGCCCTGGGGGAGCGTGCTGGGGGTCCCAGCTGCACGGGGACTGGACCGGGCTGGGGCTGGGGTCCCCCCAAGGGTCCCAGCTGCACGGGGACTGGACCGGGCTGGGGTCCCCCCAACCCCGGGATCGGGATCGGGATGGGGATCGGGCCGGGGTCCCCCCAACGCCGGGATCGGGATCGGGACGGGGATCGGGATCGGGATCGGGATGGGGATCGGGATCCCCCCAAGGCCGGGGCCGGGCCTGGGGTCCCGGGGGTCTCCCCGGGGGTGACCCCAGCCCCAGCCCGCTCCGGTCCCGCGGTTGGACGCTGACGAGAAGAGGCGTGTCCCCACCAAGCCCCGCCCCTCGGTGACGGAAGGGGCGTGTCGCGGCGCGGCCCCGCCCCCGGCGCGGCGCGAGGCCACGTGTGCGCGCGGGCGGCCTTTGCCGACGTGTCCCTGGCGCCGCGCGCCCCGGAAGTCCCGCCCCCTCCCGCGCGCCGGGCTGGGCGGGCCCGCGTGGGGCCGTGACGTCACCGGCAGCGCGCCGCCATTGGCCGAGGCGCCGCCATGGCCTCCGCGGCCAACCCCGGCCAGGGCGGCTCCGCGCCGCCGCCCGTCGTCCAGCGCGGCATCGTCAAGATGGTAAGGGCTGTGCCCGCCGCTCCCCGCACCGACCCCGCGCCTCGCCGGTGACCGGGGAGCCCCGTCTCCCGCAGGCTCCTCCGGGGCCCCGCTCCGCTGCCCGCCTCCCTTCCCTTCCGCTGTCGGCTCGCCGCGCGGTGCCCCGCTCCCGTGCCCGGTGCAGCCGGTGCGCTGCTCCCGGGCCGTTCCGCGGCGGTTGCTGGTCCGTTACCGCCCGTGCCGGGCCCCTGCCGCTGCAGCCCGGCATTGCCCCGCAGCCCGGCTCCCCGCGCCGCCCCGGGGCGCTGCCGCAGGAGGAGCTTTGGTGCCGGTGCTCCCGCTCCCTGCCGGCCCCGGAGCCTCGCGGTGCGCCGGCAGCGGGGCCGTCCCGCGGGTGCCGCACGTGCTCCGCTCGCTGCCCGTGCCGGGGCATCCCCGGGGCGGGATGCCCCAGCCCCGCTCGGGTCCCCGCGGGACAGCGCGGGGATGGCGTCCCCCCGTCCCTCCGGGGTCCCCGGGAAGGGTCCCCGTCCCCGCGGCAGGGCCCCACGTGTGCCGGCAGCGGGGCCCGGGAGAGCGAAGGTCGGGTTCAGGCCCCTGCCCCTGTCCCGTGTCCCTTCCCGGCCCTGTCCCGCCCCAGCCCCTTCCCTGCCGTGCTCCCGAACCCCCCGATTCCCGTGCCCGAGTCCGGGGGATGCGGGGGTCTCGGCTGCCCCCGGAGTGGGACCTGTTCCCGGCGGTCACTGCAGCCCGGAGCCCGTGCCCGTGCTGGGGACAGGGCTGGGACAGCGGGACACGGACCCTGCAAGTCTGGGCACGCATGGCAGGGATCTAGGGATGGCTCCCGGAGGTTTGGGATGGGCAGCGGGGATCTGGGGATGGACACTGCGGTCTGTGGTCAGGCACCGGGGGTTTGGGGACACTTGGGGACACCGCAGGTCTGCTCTGGCGCCATCCCCGTGCTGTGTGGCACTGGTGACAGGGGGATCTGCTCCTGCCCCAGCTGCAGGTTTTGGGGTGCTCAGGAACACCCTGCCCTGGCCGTGTGCCCGCCCGATCCATCCACGGGGATGTGGATCCAAGCAGGGTTTTGGGGGGATTTGGGGGGATTCTGGGGTCTCCTGGCTGGGAGGCAGCCGTGCCTGTGCCCCGTGGCCCGGGGTGTCTCTGTGGTCCCCTTCGGGCCAGCCAGCCCAGCATTCCCCCGGGAGAGGGGGTCCCGGGCTCTCCGGTGCCGGCCACGTGCCCTGCTGTGCTGCCCGTCACCGCTTCGAGGGTTTTGGGGCTCTTTGCACCTTCCTGTTGCAATCACAGGCAGACTAGGGGGCTTGAGGGCAGGAGTTTGGCAGCAGGGTGGGGGTGAAGAGCAGGAATTTTCCTCCCACTCCTGTCAGGATTTTTAACCCTTTGTGCCCCACGGGGGCAGCTCTGGATTCTGGATGTGCCCGTGGGATTTTGGTGCTCTGGAGCTGCCTTGGCAGCACGAGTTGGGGCTGTGCACCCCGTGTGCCTGTGCTGTTTCCAGGCTGGATTAAGCCAGGTTTAAGCCCAAACTTCTCTGCTGGAGCCCTCAGTGGGACGGACGGGCCCTGGGGTGGGACAGTGACACCTGGCTGCGGGGACAGTGTCCTGATCCCACGGCCATCCCGGGAGCACTTCCCCGGGTGGGATCCCGGCAGCCACGGGGGCGTGTGGCCCCTCCGTGGGCAGGGACAGGGCCACAGGGATCAGGAGCTGGCACGGAGTGTCCCCAGAGCACTGCCCTGACCCCCGAACACGGAGCCAAGGATCCCACCCCGGGACCCGGGACTGGGCATTGATTGAACACAGCAGCTCCCTGGCCTCGCCGTGCCCTTAAATTAAAGATTAAGGTTAATTACAGCCATGAAACCTCTAAGTCGTTAAGCACAGAGCAGTGAGCCCTGGCTGGGATCGCTCCGTGCCTCCAGGTGGGGGAGCAGGGGCACCCTGAGCCTCGGGGTGGGCTCATCCTGGGGGGCTCAGTCCTGGGCTCAGGGCTGGGCTGGCTCTGCTGGTGGGGCAGAGCTGGGGGGGTTTGGGATCCCTGCGAGCACCCGGCGGATTTCGGGTGGAGGGAGCCAGGGCAGGCACTGGAACCGACCCCGGCTGGATCAGGGAGATCCCTGGGGTAGGCACACGGTCTGTGGGTCTGGATGGGGCCTGCAGCCTTCTGAAGCGGGGTGGTGGTGCTGTGTGTGGGGTGAAGCTTTCTGAAGTTGTACAGTGGCACGCTGTGTGTCGTGGCTGTCTCAGCTGTGACACTTGGGAACGGGGGATCCTCAGGAACAGGGAGATCCCAGGAACAGGGAGTTCCCTGAGAACTCCAGGGAGATCCTGGGAACAGGGAGATCCCAGCACACTCTGGATGCTGGCCCAGAGCCCAGCCCTGCAGAAGGACCGGGGGAATGGGCTGGGAATGTGGGGGCTGGGGGTGTGAGGGAGCCCTGGGAGAGGGGCTTGGCTGGGAGTGCCCAGCCCGGAGCTCTCGGAGCCAGAGCTGTGGTGGGACATGGCCTGGCTGGGCTCACCTGGAAAGCAGCAGGTGTAAAATCCTGATTTTCCAAATCCTCCTTGGTGTTCTGTGTGCACAGAGGTGACCCCGTGTCCAGGTGTGCTGAGCTCTGAGAGACCCCAGAGCCCCTGCAGTGCCACCCTGCCATGGCAGGGACACTCCCACTGTGCCAGGCTGCTCCAGCCCCAGTGTCCAGCCTGGCCTTGGGCACTGCCAGGGATGCAGGGGCAGCCCCAGCTGCTCTGGCAATTCCAGCCCAGCCAGGAATTCCTCATGGCCAAGATCCCATCCATGGCTGCCCTCTGGCAGTGGGAGCCATTCCCTGTGTCCTGTCCATCCCTTGTCCCCAGTCCCTCTGCAGCTCTCCTGGAGCCCCTTCAGGCCCTGCCAGGGCTCTGAGCTCTCCCTGGATCCTTCTCCTCTCCAGGTGAGCCCCCCCAGCTCTCCCAGCCTGGATCCCTGGGAGCTGAGGGGCTCCAGCCCTGGAGCAGCTCCGGGGGCTCCTCTGGGCTCTCTCCAGGGAGTCTCTGTCCTGCTGGGGACACAGACTGCTGTGCCCAGGGCTGGGGCAGCTCTGCAGGGGGGTCTCACCTGGGCCCAGGGGCAGGATCCCCCTGCCCTGCTGGGGATGAGCCCAGGACGTGCACTGTGGCCCCATCTCCAGCTGGGACAGCTCCTGGCTCTCCAGACCCGTGGCACTCAGCAGTGCCGGGTTCCCGAGCCCTGCCAGGCCAGGACATCCTGGAGCTCTGCCCCTGGAATTGCGCGTGTCCGTGCTGCGTCACCTCCCTGTCCCCCAGGCTGCAGCCGCTGTGCCGGGGGACGCCTGCTGACCCCTCTGACCTCGCTGTCCCCCTGCTGTCCCCCTGCTGTCCCCCCGCTGTCCCCGCTGTCCCCGCTGTCCCCTCTGACCCCGCTATCCCCTCTATCCCCGCTGTCCCCTCTGTCCCCTCTGACCCTGCTGTCCCCGCTGTCCCCTCTGACCCCGCTGTCCCCCCTTTC